AGAAGCAGCCAATGAGAATAATTGATATCAACTGGGAAAACCTGAACAAAGATCTTAACTAAAAAAATTTGACTTCATAAATGTTTCTGTTTATAGAACATTCCAGCTGATTAATGAAGTAGAAATGATAGAGCATAAATGTCATCACTTGCACTCCTTGATGGATATACGCAATGATCATCAATGGCTAACATCCCAGAAAAGGTGACAAGCAGTCAAGATGTGCCTCTTGATGGAAGTAATACCACCATCTACGGAGTATACTTGCAAAATAAAAAAATAAATAAATAGCACCTGAATCTGAACAGTCGTCTGATTCTGATTGCAACTACCAATTTTCAGGAAATGAGATGACAAACTGCTTAAGTTACAGGGGATGCAGTCTACAAAGCTCAGACTGGAAAACTGTAGAACAAATGGCCCTTTTACTCCAACATGTAAATTGCAAGGGGAAAAAAAGAAAGAGAACCTACTTTTAAAGGACTTGAAATACATCAGCCACTTGTAATGTATGGAATCTATTTGGATCCTACTTCAGACAATCTTTTTAAAAAATGTTATGAAACAAGCAGAAAAATCAGAACAGTGGATATTTGATGACAACAAACAACAATTGATATTTTTAGATCTATTAATGGTATTATAATTTTGTTAAATACTTACATTTTTTAGATATGTCCTAAAAATATTTACAGATGAATATTAACTCTAGGATTTACTTAGAAATAATCTAAAATTTAGGGAGAAAAGCTGGGGTGAATAAAATTACATTTTTTTTAAGAAAAACAAAATCCAAAACTTGAAGATAAGCAAAAGGAGGACTGATCACCAAACTTCATTTTAATGTCATTCTGGGAATTATCTAAAATGGACGTTATCTAATCAAATGGATTGATTATCTAATTACCTAGGAATGTATACCTTTATTTAGCTTATTCTTTACCATTTATTTTACCTCACAGTAACAATAGCAGTTAATTGGTAGAAAAGTGATAGCAACACAACTGATTCTTGTCTGATAGCAAAGAAATTTTCCTGTAGAAATGCAAATCATTTCTATCCCGCCAAAAGTTACAGTACTTTTTACCTCATTCTAACATTCTTTCCATACTATATATACTTAGTCTCTTTCATTCTCTTTAAGCCAACTGAACATTCCAGTTGGTTATCTCATGAATGAGCTAATTACTCTTTGACATGTTCACGTTACATTTATATGAGAGTTGTGTTTTTATCTTTTGAAAATTATACTTTGTCAAGATGAGACAAGACTGGCCATTAGTTTGATAATTGCTGGGGCTAGGTGCTGGACCATACTATTCTCTTCTGTACATGTGTTAGAAGTTTATCATAAAATCTTTAAAATTCTAAATTTAAAATGTAAGAGTAACTGGCTGGTTTCTTCCAAAATTATTCAAATGCCTTCAAGCTACTGCTTAAAGATTTAATTTTGGCAAAAATCATGTATCCTCTTTAAACAAAATGTTGAATCCTTACAGTAAGAACACATTTACATTTATTTTGAAAAATAAGCTGAAATGATGAAATTAACTCCATCAAAGTGCCCAGTTAGTGGTGGTAGTAAACTTCTACACTGCTAAACAATTATTTTTGTATCTATTAAGTTTGAACAATATTGTGTAAGGAATTCAGCAGGAAATTTTACCATATGACCTGAGGATCAGTCTTGAGATAAAAAGTTAAAAGTTATATATTTGGGGTAAAAGCTGGGAAAATATAGAGGTCAGAGGCAGTGTGGTCAGTGAACTTATAGAAATAAGCAATCAAGAAATTATGCTTGCCCTCGTGAATGTAGCAGAATTTTTAATGATACAATACTAAATGTCAAGCAATAATTATTTGAAAAAGAAGTTACCATTTTAGGCTTTTATTTTTCTTTTTTGATAGCTCTTTTTAGTTGGTTTTCAATTACATTTTGTAATAAAAACTGATTCATCCATTAGTGCAAAACCTATTTTCTACTAAGAGATGACAGTTAATGTTTCTTCTATAACATCTTCCTCCTATTCCTCTTATTGGGTGTGGCATTATGAAAAAAAGGTTGATAGCTTGAAGCAATTTTGTTGCTGTGTGTTTATGCTAATTTTTCATAAATTTCATTAGGTGTTCAGAGGGATTAGTAATTAAAAAAAAAATCTACAGTATCTCACTTAGAGCTGGAATCAGGAGTTGAACCTGTATCCTAATCTTGGCTCTGCATTAACTCTCTCACGGTCCTTAATCAGTAATTTAACCAGTCAGGACACAGCTGTTTCAACAGTAACATTGGTTTAACAGACTGATACACAAGCCAGGTAATCTCTTTCCTCATGTTTTAACTTTAGGATCTGCCATCTGGTGTCTCAAACCACAAGTATTTCTATCATAGTCATTGGACTAGAGAAACCTTGCCTTACCAAGAAATACAGAACTTTCATCTTTCTCTTCTTTTCTGTAGTCCCTATGTTATGAGCTACCTCTCTCTACAGCACACAAGCCGCATTTCTTCCTGCGGTAAACACACTGACCATTTCTTCTACGTGGAGTAGCTCAAGATTCTCTGACTCGTTTTCGTTTATGCAGCCTAGACCAGTCAGCTCTGGGGTCACTGAACCCGCGGAGGCAAATGGTTCAATCTCCTCTGCTTACCTTGACAGACACTGTTATAGTCAGCACAGCAGTCTTTCCTCTGCAGACAATCATCTGAACAAGAGCAGAGGCTGGAATCTAGTCTGGTCTCCCCACAACGAAATCTATTGCATGTCCATATTCGAGCTGTAAAATCACACAGTTTGGTTGCCAGCATTTAACTTCTTGTAAGTATCCAATATCAAACATGAATTCCATGCGTTTATCCCTGTATTACTGGGCAGTCGAAGTCTTGGCTTATCGCACTAATAAATGAGAATATGTAAGACAAACAAGGGGCTATCCACCGCTTTTCTTCATTTGGCACGGGTGCAGTCTTTCAAGCAGCAGCTCTGATCCACCTAGCAGGTACACCTCTGAGTTTGGAGAAACTCTGAACACTGGCTCTGTCCCCACCCAAAAGTAGGAGTTCCCAACAGCGATGAACCATTATGCCTGAGTGATTGTTGCCACCCAAGAGCAGTTTTGTCTAAGGACAGGCAGCAAGGAAGAGGCAGTGACAACAGAAGTAGCAGGAACACGGTCAGGTGGGTAAGGATGTAGGGAGGTCAGGGCACCTCGCAGCTGAGGGTGACAGAACTGGTGGATGAGCCTCCGCCATGCCCTTGCTGTTCTCCCAGGCTGTGTGCTCAGTTATGACATCAGTGTAAATAAACATCTGTGCTAAAAATAGCAAGAGGCTGCACCGCCGTTGTTTCCTAGTGCCACCTGCCAGGAGTCAGTGTCTAAAATCAACATCAGCCCTGTGCGGAGACAAATGCATTGAACAGGTAACTGCTGTGTGCTTCCATTGTGCACAAAGTTCTTCATTGCCCTTCACTTATTATTTACTTAGAAAATACTGGGAAAGATTTAGTAAAGGGAATACACATCTTATCTACAGTACGTTATCCCTTCCCTCTTGTCCTTTTCAGAAAGCGTAATGTAAGGAGTTCTGTTATTCTAGTGTTACTCTCCTTGAATCACTAGCCACCCCCGTACACACATGCCGTCGCTGGTTTCTTAAAAAATTAAACATTGTGAATGGTCTCTTCTCCCCAGAGAATAGTGTTTTTCAAGTTGCGTTCTGTGGAGCACTGGCATCAGAATCACCAAGAATCACCAGCTTTCCAAGTGAATCTTATGCATCCTAAAATCTGAGAGCCACTGCCAATGAAACTAAATAAGATGATTAACTTGACTCATAGTGAAACTCCATTGTGACATCTGTACTCCATGCAACATACACAGCATCTTGTCTGCTAGAGACTAGTACTCCTCAACCTCAATCAAATCAAGTGTGGACTCTATGTTTAGTACTGTAAAGGGGGGAATGGTAATCATAGATCCCATACACAAGATGTTATGAGTTAAATAATGTCCCCACAAAATGTTGGAGTCCTAGCCCCCAATGTCATGAATGTGACCTTGCTTAGAAAAAGATCTCTGTAGACAGTCAAGTTAAAATGAGGTCCTTAGTGTGGGCCCTATCCAGTGCGACTGGTATTTTTATAAAAAGGGGAAAGTTGGACATGAACTCACACACACAAGGAAGACTGTGAAGACACAAGAGAACTCTCCGTGAAGACGGAGGCAGAGTTTGGGGTTACACTATCACAAACCAACAACTGCCAGTGACTGCCAGCAACCCACCAGCTAGGAGAGGGGCAAGGGACAGATTCTCCCTCATAGCCCTTAGAAAGAACCAACCTTCAAAACAGCTATATCCTGGCTTTCTAGCCTCTGGGACTGTGAGAAAATGAATTTCTGTGGGTTAAGTCTCCCCCTCCCCAGTTTCTGTGTTATGGCAGCCCTAGAAAACTAATACACATCGGACGTGCATTCGTGAAAGCACAACCAACATGTTACAATGAACTTATCCTCAGAGTCCATACTTGATTTCACACAGGTGTCTTCAAAATCCCAGCAACAGTCACCCCGCTGTTTACATTCCATATCACACCGGCAGCTCTCCAGTCCTCTGAATGAAGAATCAAAGCATTTCTTCCTGCAACTTCCTGCAGAGTGGAGGAAATGAGAAAACCAGTGCTTAGGAGTTATCTGGTATCTCAGAGCTGGATGAAGCACACAGAAGAGGTACCTAGTGCAGACCTGTGACCTCTGTAGGTCAAACAGGTATTTTGTTATTGCGCTGTATGATTCATCAGTGCAAAGTGATAAATAATAAGCAATTTTTCCCTAGGACTCCACAGAGGTCCCAGACTCAGAAATACCAGGCACCATTAGGTGAAGGTAGGGGGGACAGGCAGAGGCTAAATGTAGTGGAATTGGGTGAAAGTCTGGAGCCAGAACAGCAACTATCCACCCCACTCTGTCTTCACATTGAAGGCTCATAATCTGGAGAAATTTAGGAAAAGTAGCTTTCCTCACAGAGGCAGACACAGAGGATAGCTACGAGGAGAAAAGAGGAACACGCCATATACACAAACGTGAACAGATGGTTACCAGACATTTGAGGATAGCAAGATAATATCCAACATAAAAACATAGACCAAAACAAAATAAGAAGAAAAAGAAAGAAAGAAAGAAAGAAAGAAAGAAAGAGAGAAACAAAGAAAAGGAAAAAAGAAAAGCTTGATTGAAAAGGAAACAATGCAAGGAACGGAAGAGTTAAACACAAATATACACACACACAGCTAATGGTGAGATCCTGTGAAGAGACAACATTGTATCCATGAAATAAGAAAGAAAGCTATAATTTAAAAAAGAGAAATAACATCCTGGGAATAAAAACATGAGAGATAAAAACATAGGAGCGGTAATGAAAAATTCAGTAGAGGGGTTGTGGTAGGCAGAATCATGGTTCCCAACATGATTTGTTCCCCTAATCCCCAAGACTGAATATGCTATGCTGTTTTACACAGCAAAGAGACATTGCAGATGTAATTAAGGCTATTACTTAGTTGACCTTAAAACAGGAATGTGGTACCTAAAAGTGAAAACAAAGAAAGTGGAGATGATATGATTAAAGAATTCACATTATAAAATTCACCAGAACTGAAAAGCTTAAATTAGTACATCAACATTTCGCAGGGCAAAACTCACACCAAGAGGTCAACAGGAATAAAGTGATCTTGAAAGCTCACGGAGAAAAATCATAAGCAATCTGTAAAAGATCACAAGTCAGAATGGTATCAAATTTCTTAAAAGCAATACTGGAACCTAGAAGATAGGAAAGCAATGCCTTCATTTTTTTTAAAGGAAAATTATGTTCATCTCAGAATTCAGTATCTAGCCAAACCATTAAGTGTTAAGTTAGGGTGATGAAGATATCTTTATATAGGTAAGAACTCAAGTTAAATCTCATATGCATCCTATTTTAGGAAACTACTAAAGATGTTCTTTAGCAAAATGAGGAGGTAACACAAAGAGATCCAAAAACTATGAGATCCAACACAATGGAGAGTCTAGGGAAATAACAACCATAGGTATATGAGAGCAAACAAAGAGAGCAAACTAAGAGAGCAAACAACACAGATCAGAGCAGCAGGACAGAGGAACAAAAATTAAAATAAAAGGTATCACTCTATACCTAACTTTACACTGCCAAAAATGAGAGAGCCAGAGAATGCCAAGAGTTGGTGGGGATACATGGTAAAGACAGAGTAGGCTGTAGCAGCCATTCTAGGAAGCAATCTGGGGCTACTCAACTGAGTTAAAATACAAACCCTAATTATGAGGGAGCTTGGGGCAAGCTGAAGGCAAAATATAGGTTGGTACACACACACACACCCAGGTGGAATATGTGTGATATTCCTCGGACACTCCTGGCTACCCAAGAACAAAGGAAAGGGGTTTAAGTGCTTGCCATGGTAATACGGGAAACTAAAGCAAATGAAAAATTAAATTCCCTTACTGCCTACAGCCCATTGACAAGTCCTTGAGACAGGCAGAGTGACCTCCCTCTAGGAGCTCAGCTGCTGGATAACGCTTTGCTAGGGGCAAAAAGGAATCTCGGCATAACGTTATCCCAACCTTGAGGATCCCGTAAGTCTGCTTCCTTTATCCCAACTGCCCCAAGATATATGCTGGCAATCATACTCCAAGCTTATGGCCCCTCGATATACATCTAAAGGGTCTCATGACTGAGGTTTTATTAAATGGTAATAAATGGCATTTCCCTAGTAACAGCTAGCCCCTCAAGGTCCTGGAAACCCTGCTTCCAAAATTCCTTAGAGACTTACTCTATCCTTGACCCTCTCCCAATATGAGGGTATGTAATGAGTTACTGGTCAGGACCCCAGTGAAGTTCTTCCTGCCCATGGGTCCTATCCCCATGCTTTAATAAAATCACGTTTTTGCACCAAAGACATCTTCAAGAATTCTTTCTTGGCCATCAGCTCCAGACCCCACAAACCCTCCATCACCCCAAAATTTCATCACTGAGACCCAGGAATACTATCCCTGGTAGATGATGAAGCAATCTCACACAAGTCCATAAGGAACCTGCAGGATATATGTGGTGTAAAGGAACTAAAGTCAGTCAGGCACTGGGGGGAGGGCATAGGTTAAATAGTACATTAGATACATGCTAAAGAGTAGTAAGTAGTAAGTAGATAGATGCATAAGAATAGATGCATGATAACAATGTAGATCGATCTTAAGAAACATTCAGTGAAAAAGTAACCAAAAAAGTGTTATACCATTTATATAAAAGGCCTTTACATTTTTATATTCACTCACCTGCTTTGAAACATTTTCTGCACATGGTTTCTAGGAAACAACAATCACCTGGCTTTCCTCCCACATTCCTGACAAATTCTTCCTAGGCTTCATCTGTGGGTTTTTTCCCCCACCACATGTTCCCAATTCTGTAAGGTTAGTGTGTTCCAGTCACATTGCTTTAAGTCCCACATATGATGCTGATAACCGCCTCACTGTATGTCCATCTAGAACTTCCCTTCAAAAGACAGCCTCATATATCCAACTGCCTTCGTGGTTTTTCCTCTTGGACATCTAGTAGATATTTCAAATTTAACATGTCCAAAAACGAGCTCCCGATTATTCTCCCCAAACCAGCTTCTTCTACAGTGTTTCCCATCTCAGTTAGGGAATTTCTGTATTTCCAGCTGTTCCTATCAAAAATCTTGAGGTCATTCTTCTCTCTTTCTCTGTATCCATTCTGTCAATAAAATCTATCTACCACTTCAAAGATATCCAGGACCTAAACATGTCTCACCAGTTACAATCACTGCTGTAGTTCAAGACATAAAACTTGTATGGATTATGGCAATAATTTCCCAATTGGTGTTCCCCACGTCTCCTCGTTTCACTCTGCCATTTATTCAAACACAGTAGCCTGAATGAGTGTACCAAAAGCAAACCACAGCATGTCATTTCTTTGCTCCAATCACTTCCCAGCACTCTCAGAATGAAAGCCTGTGGCCATATTCAATCTATCAGCCTCACTGATTTGGCTTCTCTTCAGTCCTTTGGTCCATCTCATTTTATGACCAACCTCCTTCTTGTCCTCTTAGTTCGAACTCACTGATCTTGTTACTTGTTAAATTAACTTGCCAGGCAAGCTCCTGCCTTAAGCCTTTGCACTTGTTTTTTTTCCTCTTGCCTGGAATGTCCCTCCACAAATATCCCTGTTTCTCCCTTACTTCTTCAGCTCTTTACAAAAGTTATTTCACATACACCCCCAATCCTACCCCAACTCAATATTTTATAATCCCCTTTTCAGTTTTACTTACTCCCTAGCACTTTATCATATATATATATATATATATATATATATGACTTATTTATTTTTTTATTGTCTCCCTTCCATGCTAGAATGTAAACTCTTTGAAGTTTCCCAGTAATTAGAATAGTACCTAGCATACAGTCAGTGTTCAATTATTGAAGAGTAAGTAAAAAGCATGTGCACATAAAAGAACACATTTTTTAATGTTTTATTTATTTTTGACAGAGAGAGAGAGAGAGACAGAGACAGAGAGACAGAGCATGAGTGGGGGAGGAGCAGAGAGACAGAGGGAGACACAGAACCTGAAGGAGGCTCCAGGCTCTGAGCTGTCAGCACAGAGCCTGACACGGGGCTCAAACTCACAGACCGCGAGATCATGACCTGAGCCAAAGTCGGATGCTCAACCGACTGAGCCACCTAGGCGCCCCAAAAGAACACATTTATAAGAATACATACAAACTCAAACTAGAAGAACTACTTTTAAAATTCACACTGCCTATGAAAAGCAGGTTAACTGGAATGGAGAATGGTGAAAATGGTGCAGGGTTGGGGATTAGGAATCAGTGGTAAAAGAATGAGGAGGTGAGTATTTCAAGAGTGCTGGCAAAGGAGGGGCAGGAGTTAAATACCAAAGTCCTGGAGGGGGTGGTGCCACATGAGGGTTGACAGATGGAGATATAAGGACAAGAATAAGGAACAATGACACTGGGAAGCCAGCCAGTAGGTGCAATAAAATAAGCAAGTGAGAGAAACAGTCAAAATAATCAGAGATTTTGTTCAGAGATTAATTAGTATGTGCCTCTTGCAATTAATTTACGTGACGCAAGGATAAGAGAACCAAGAAGTGATGTACTTCTGTGCACACTTACATCAGAATACTACTACTAAAGTGGCCCAGCAACACTTGTTAGATCTAGGCCTAGGGCTCTGTAGTTCAGAAACACAACCTGTAGCTCTGTACTATAATTCAGTACATATAATTTTGAGCCAAGTGACTCAAAAAAGATAGTAATTTTCCAGGTAAGGTCCACCTTTTCAGTTCTGCCATGTTCCCATGCTATCCTGGGAGCACTGAGTGTTTGTTAATTTTTAAGTGAAAACATAACTGAAAAATTGTTTATCAGTCTCACCATGAGTCTCCCTAATGAAGAAGCAAAAAGACCTTCCCCAAGGGAGTCAAACTAAAAGTTAATCGGCCCAATTAAAAAGGAGAACAAATGATCTCATGTCCGACCTCCTACTTCCCCTTAATAAAAGTACCCAAACAATACATAACAAGACTTAGACAATGCTTGTAAATGATTTATTTATTGTTCATATTGACCAGATATTGCAAAAAAAGATGTATTTTGATATGTTGCAGCATCTTTCTCCTATTTTTTCTTTGCTTCTCAGGAGGAAAAATAAAGAAACATGAAGCTTTTAGTCTGTACTACATTTCAAGAATGTGTCATTGCCTAGCCAAGAAATGGTGAGATTTCAAGAAGAAAGTGATACCTTCTCCCAGGAGGTCCTGGGAGGGGAGTAACCAAGACTTTTGAGGCCAAGTTTATCAGCAGGTAGGAATGACTAGAGTAGATGCTGAGACAGAAGGAGTCTTTGATCCAGTTATCAAATGAAGGTGAGAACAAATGAGGGGAAAATACAGGAATGATATGACTCTCAAAGGAGTAAGGGGCGGGGGTAAAAGAGTGAAGTCCAGAAATGACATTGGATAATGCTAACCACAGATGTGGGCTCCCGATAAGTGCGGTGTGGGAGAAGAAGAAACCTTGGATGAGACTGCTCCACGCAAGAGAGAGGGGGCTCGAGAGAGGGGACAAGTTTCAACGGTAAAGGTGAGGAGAAAGGAGGAATCAGGAAATGTGTTGAGAAAACACTGAGGGGTTACCTTGCTCCTCTTGTCGCCTGAGTCCAAGCCCCAGGCCCAGTCCAAGTGACACAATCACCAACAAAGCAAGGAGAACCTATATTTAAAATAAGGAAAAGTGACCTTTACAATTTTTAAAAAATGTACAAAGGTACAAAGATCCTGCCCTCCGTCAGTGAATCTAAAGCCACACGGCAAGCTAGTTATTCATAACACCAGATCCAACAGTGACAGGGGAACGTACAGTTTTAAAGGCCTGAAAATAAGAAAGCTCTGGGAACAAGTTTAAAATAGTATTTACTACAGATCTTTAAATTCCAATGTATGAGTCCTGGTTAGTGTAACCCCAGATTGAGTTAAAGTATGGATGAAACTATGAGGGCCATTTACCTTTGCCCACTTCTCATTCTTAACTAGGTACCTGTTTGGAGATGATTTATCTAAGAGCATTCCTGAGTTGTGAAATCGTTAACTACCTCATTCCTAGGGAGCAGGGGTTTCCCTCCCAGCTCTGTCCTATGGAGGGGATGAGAATAGTTAATACATGTGAAAATACAGCATTCAAATAATTAACTGACAAATGATCGCTTTGATCTCTAGCACAGATAACGATGTGGAAGCTCTATGACCAAAGATTGTGTGTGTCACTCATTATCACTACTGCTGACAAGGCTCTTCAGTGTAGTGGACTTTATGCAATGACTAGAATTAAACTGTGATATAATTGCAGAGAATTATTCCCACTCACCTTTTTCCCCACCCAGTAAGTCCAATGATAAGCATGCTGGATGACAGAGCTTGAAAAATATATATTGCCATAGAATATGAACACAACAGACACATGAATTACTTAGGAATGTATTTTACAACTCCAATAACCTTTGTTATAGCTTTTTAAAAAATCACTTTCATAAAAAACACAATAACAAAATTTGCTTCGATAATACTGTAAACCACTGATTTTGTTTTCACTCTGAAAATCAACTGGAAAATTAACATTTCTAACTTTAGAACAGCAGTGGATTCAGGGACTGGGAAAATATGTGAAAATACTATGTAAACATTTCTTTTTTTTTAATATTTTATTTTAAGTAATCTCTGTACCCAACGTGGGGCTCAAACTCACAACCCCGAGATCGAGAGTCACATGCTCTATGGACTGAGCCACCCAGGCACCCCCTATGAAAACAATTCTTACATAAAGTCTGAAACTTAGCCCAAGTTTCAGTGACCTTCCAGCATTCAGTGGAAAGAATGGAGAGGGAAAAAGTGAACTTAAATAGTTACTAAATAGCATCACTAGCACTGAGTCCCTTATTATGATGCTAAAAAGCCACACGTGACCAGGACTAGGAATACAAAGCAGGGAAACACTGGGATATAGTCCTATGGTAAACCTCATAGATTTACAAAATCTATGTAAATCATAGATTTAAAAATTGGTATATTTTGGTTTACATCTTATCATTAGTCCTTTTACCATTCAAACTTGATGGGAAAATAAACAGCATCTAGCTGTCCCTAGGATGCTCTAGAACTTTTTCCTGTTAAATCTTAGTGTCTGTTTCCTCACGACTCTACTTGTTCTCTGTATTTTTGGCTTGCTCTCACATTATTCTGTAAATTCCCTGAGAAGAAGCTTCATTTTTTAAAAATTTTGTTTAAAGGGGCAGAGAGAGGGGGACAGAGGATCTGACAGGCTGACAGCAGTGAGCCGATGTGGAGCTCCAACTCACAAACCATGAGATCATGACCTGAGCTGAAGTCGGACACTCAACCGACTGAGCCACTGAGGTGTCCCAAAGAAGCTTCATTTTTAATCTCCTATAATCACTTCCTCTAAATGAGTAATTCTGAGTTAGCTTCTTGATATTTAGGTGCATGTGCATCTTAAACTATTTATGCTAGCTACAAAATGGACAGGGGAGAACTCGGACTCCAAAAATCACCAAGAAGCCAACATTTGGCTTTAGAAAGCTGTATAAAGAGTGCCAGCAACACAGTAGATACATCTAAAGTTTCTTGAATGAAACCTATGTTAAAATTTGGAAACAGGGTATTTCTGAAACTACAATTTTAAAATACTGAGCTTCTAGGGGCCCCTGGGTGGCTCAGTCAGTTAAGTGCCCGACTTCGGGTCAGGTCATGATCTCGCGGTTTGTGAGGTCGAGCCCCGTGTCGGGCTCTATGCTGACAGCTCGAAGCCTGGATCCTGCGTCGGATTCTGTGTCTCCCTCTCTCTCTGTCCCTCCCCTACTCATGCTCTGTCTCTCTGTGTCTCTCTCTTTCAATAATAAATAAGTTTAAAAAAAATTAAAATACTGAGCTTCTATTATACATACTAGTAAACCACTGGAATGATAGAAAGAAGGAACATAAGTGATGCACAAAATTTTGTTTTCAAGAAGTTTATAATGTCTTTAATTTATAGATGGAATAAATCTAATAAATGGCATAAGAGTTAAAAGAGCACTCTAAAGTTCCCAGAAGGATAATGACTAAATAGAGTATCTTGACAGTTTACTTTGTTATAGCTCCTGGGCTCAATGCTCACACACATTGTTTCATTTACTTCTAGAAACAATGCTTGAGTGACAGAATGGTGGTGACATTACCTAAGGCAGGGAACTTAGGAGAAAAATGCAGCAGGATAGGTGTGAGAAATTATGCAACTGTTTTTGGCTGGAGTTACTGGATGAGAGCCAGCAAGCAGGCATTTGAAGTCTTGTGCCAGAAACTCAGCAAGAAGTCAGACCTACCGGCCTACTTGAAATTCTTGGTTGAGAATATGACTTTTACAACCATGAAAAGATGAGATTGCCTAAAGGAAAGATATTTAGACAAGGTTTGGTGGAATGCTATGTGCAAGAAAGAAGAAAGTCAGCCAAGAATGCAGATAAAGAGAAAAGTCATAAAAATGGGGATATCAATGCCATCACGGAAGCATGGGGAGAGAATAATTCAAGATGAGAACAGAACAATATCCACATATTGTTGTTATGGAGACACAGCAGGAGGACAGAGGAGAAGGAAAGATTTTCAAGGAGATGACTTCAGGAGAGTGAAAACAAGCAAGGGAACAGGGAATGAATGGGTGAGTGGTGAGAAAACCGGGGCAGTGGATGGAGCTCCCCTTCCCCAAACGTTTGAGAGAGTAATCAAATCAAGGAAAACTTTATTTTTCAGAACAAGGAAGATCTTAACATATAAAAAAAAAAAAAGCAAAGAGAAAAAAGGTAAAAGAGACCGTCTTTAGGAGTAAAGAAAACTAGATAAAAGCAACAGTCCAACAAAGAATATGACATACACTGATCTTTGATTTTTTAAACTGTGGTCTTAAAAATATTCACGCAATAAAATGGTGATTTGGGATGGGATTATGATCGTGCTAAAATCAATGCTGCAAAGTGTTTTGCCACAAGATGCCAACTTTTTAGGATGGATCAGATATTAACTTGTTATTCAAATTTCTTAGGCAAAATGGTATTCAAAATATTAACGTGGCATTGGAGCTGTCACAAGGGCCAAAGTGAATGCAATCACTTAAAACTTTACACTCAAAAAGCAACACCAATGTAAATGGGGAGTCATACACTTAACATTTATCACAAAGCTACAAAGACTGAAATTAAAAGCTGTACTTACAATACAAATTATTTTGTACGTCCTAACAGTGCTCCTCTTGACAGGTTCTTCCATTGATAGAATCTGCATAGACTCCATTAGCCGTATAAACCTGTTTTACTAGAAGACAGTAGTACTCCTTCCTGTTTCTAGTCCAGCAAAGAGAAACTGAATGAGTTACACAGCTGTGAGTAACTTCAATGTTTTGGAAGGTCACAGCTCGTTAATGATTGGACAATCAAAAAGGAGGAAAAAGGCTGTAATGACAATAGTGTCATGAGATCAAAGTCCTCTTCCAGGACATTGTAGACAAATACTACATATTAATAAAAGTATATGTAATAATCAAATTTTAATACAATTTGATCATTTGTTTTCTTCAAAAATAACCCAAAACAAATGGTTTTGTTATAGAAATTCCAGGGAGTTTCTACATTTGTAATACACTTCATTTCACAGTTGAAAGTCAACATACTAAAAAATGTGCTTTAACCATATAGGAATCCCATAACTCTGTTCAATTTATATAAAGTACTTAATTATAAAAGAATTATGTCTTCTGTTTTAAAGCGTTCACGGTTTGAAATGTTTTCATACGTATTATCTCATATCAAACTTAACAACATCCCTTATAAACATTTTATTCCTATTTTGTAGTTGAGTCAAATAAAGGTCTGATTATTCAAAGTCAGGTCTGTGACTTACTTGTCCCAAGTCACATATTTACTAGATTCCAGAAGTAGAACTGAAACCCAAGTCTTCTACTCCCCAAATTCAAGTTAACTTTCACTGAACAATTAAACTCGTTCTTTTCTTCTTTACATAGACCAGAGCATCCTCATACATGCACTTCATGCTGAGAAGGGGAGTACAGGTTTATGATGAAAGAAATAAATTAACAGCAATGTAGCCAGAGAGTTATGGTAAATGGTGGGCATAAGCTCTTCCAGCTTAAATGACCCTAAGGCAGTAATTCTCAAAATGTGATTCCCTGGAACACTAGTCCTATGAAAACCTCCTTGGTTACATAAAGCTTTAGAACTCTTTTCTAATGTAAAGATTATTTAAAAAAATCCTGTAGGCTCAGTATAGTCTTTGGAAAACACTAAACTATTACAATCTTAAAAGCAGTGAAAAGAAATAGGAAAAGAATCTATCCCAATATACAATGACTTATAAATATGAATATTATTTCTGAAAGTCATGTCAAAATCCCTTTTTCTACTATTGGAGCCCATGCCCTTAAGGAAAACTGCAGAATAAGAGCCATGTTTCCTTTTAAGGGTTTGTGCTGTTCTTTCTCAGCTCAGGATACCTCCCCCCTAACTTTACCTTCATGCCTAACCAGTGAAAGTACCCGCATGAGTTGCTGACACAGAAGAAATGAGTTTTAGAAGAAGATGCCATAGAGATAACCTAAACCTAAATCAAAGTCCAAAGCCCTCTTTACATGGACAGCAAAGAAGTAAACAAAAACATGTTTGGATGCCTTTGGCAAAAGGTTCTCTGCACAGGATAGACTTAGAAATACCCCAAGTAGTTTTTTTCAATTTTCGTTTTTATTTTTTAAATCCTGAAGCCCAGTCCACTTCAACTGAATTAGAATCTTCTGGATTTGGGGCTAAAATATCCCTCCAAGCCATTTTATATGTAACCAAGTTCAGTGTAAACACTTTGTTTTGGGCAGCACATACACTTTTGAATTCTCTTTTGCAAATATTTACTACGGATTCTACTTAAACTTTAGGTTTAAGATAAGACTAGAGGACCTCTAGAGCTTGACTACTTGCCCAAGATCACCTTGGTTAGTGCTATCTCAGAAGTCAGATTCTGCCTGGTGTGGAAACTGCCGCTTCAGGGGGTACTGTTGTCATCATTGCTGTTGTAGCAAACAGATTGTAAGAAAGAAAAATCCAGTCTACACCACAATTTGTATCAAAATTAGGAGATTCCTAGGAATTATGGCTTTTATCTAGTTTTCTGACATATAGCTTCAAATTTTCTATTTGCACTTAAGACAATCTATCTAGTCTGCCTTGACTCTCATTAACAGTGCTCTTACTTTTACCTTCCTCTCTGTGATGGTAGTTTTGCACATCAGTTTGGCTAAGCTACGGTACCCAGTTATTTAACCAAAAGCTAATCGAGGATATTGCCATGATGGTTTTTTTTGTAAAGGTGGTAATATCTACAATCATTTGTCTTTTAATGAAAGAAGATTACCCTTAATAATGTTGGTGGCTTTCCATCCAGGTTCAGACTAAAAGAACAAGAAATTTCGCCTCAAGATTACACCATCAGCCCAAGTTTCCAGCCTGTCAGCCTGCCCTGCCCTGTAAGTTTCAGACTTGCTAGCCCCCACAATCAAGTGAGCCAATTCCTTTCTCTCTCTCTCTTCTCTCTCTCTCTCTCTCTCTCTCTCTCTCTCTCTCTGTGTGTGTGTGTGTGTGTGTCTTTGTCTGTCCATCTCCCTCTCCCTCTCCCCCTCCCCCCCACCTCCACCTTGTTCTGTTTCTCTGGAGAATCTTGACTGATACATCCTTTGAACATCTCACATTTTTCCTTCTTTTTAAGACTTTACCTTATTTTAAACCCCCTTCCTTATTTGGCCCTCCAGGATCTATTATCTTGGTTTTTGTCTTCTTGATTTCTAACTCTTTGTCTTGGTATTTTCTATAATAATTTGTATACCTTGACTCCAGAAGTCTTACCTGGTACTGATACCCCAGTTGCACTCAAATCCTCCTTGCTGGTACTCTCCATGATGTCACTTGATTCTATACCAACTTTGTTCACCAGAATACCACCGACTCTGGCTCTGTCTTTTTGTTACTATATTCATTACCTCTCCCCACTGCCCAAACTTCCTTCCTCTCTGCTTCTACCCTCATCCTCTATCTTTTTTCAACCCTGAGAACACAAAAACACCGGATAAGAAAGTCAAGCGGCCTCTGATAAAGTCTTGCCTGTCTCACTTACTGGTTGACTCTTAACACCAAATTCTACATTTTAAGGTGATCTCAAATTATCTCAAAATTACTAAATTAATGGAAAAATATCTTAGTCCTTCAGATCCTGAGGTGAGTAAACCTCAGGGAATTTACCTGAGACACTTACACGCAGGAGTAGTAGAGACATTAGATTGTCCAGTCTCTAGTCATATTTTCTGCTATTAGCAATTCCCCTAAATGAACCCTAACCCCAACCTCTTTTGAGTGTCTCAAGTCTTAAAACTTATTCCCAACAGGGGCACCTGGGTGGCTCAGTTGGTTAAGCATCCAACTATGGCTCAGGTCATCATCTCACTGTTCATGAATTTGAGCCCCATGTCAGGCTCTGTGCTGATAGCTCAGTGCCTGGAGCCTGCTTCGGACTCTGCGCCTCCCTCTCTCTCTCCCCGCCCCCACTCATGCTCTGTCTCTGTCTCTCTCTCTCTCTCAAAAATAAATAAACATTAAAAAGAAAAACTTATTCCTAACAGTTCACCTGAGCATTGGACTCTGGACAAATCCACACCTTCCATGCAACTTAGACTTTGGAATACACTGTACAGTCACCTGGATCTGATCCTATTACTCTCTAAGTTACTTGAACCTTGTAAGCCACTGTATTCTTTACCCTTGTAAAAACTAGAACAATCTGCACCTTCTGGGTTCTCTGAAAGCTTCCTTGTGCAGACTGTAATACTTAATGGCCAAGAACACTTATGCTCTCAAAGGCAGCAATCATTACATCTCCTACCAATCATAAATATTTCTCACACTCTACAAGGTCCTTGTGCCCACAGAATACTGAGAACTTTTCTAAAATCAAAGAAAAAAACAGCAAGTATGCTGCTGTCTTGGGAAAGCCCCGGGGGCATGCCAACATCAACTTCCTTAAGGCTCATAAACCTGTCCTTCCTGGTTCCAGCACTAGAGCTTTGGTGGTAGTTGGACAAGCCAGACTGGGAAGGCCCAGAGAAACTGGATACGCTGAGGGAGGTGGTGAAGTTGAGGCAGATACTGGGCTCAGGCCCAGCAGTAGGAAGGAGTCCGTTAAAGTTGAAAGACTTCAAATAACACAATAACAGAGGGGCAGGTGGCCAACTTCAAGGAGGGCCTCTTTTAAGGAAAAGGCAAAAAAAACCTACAGAGGGGTTGACGAGCATGCCTAGCAAGCAAAAAGCTACCCTGATAGGCAGTTCCTTAGTATAGGAAAGGCAGATGCTAGTCTTTGGCCAGTGAAGATCCCGTATTGGAGCTAATTCCAGGACTGGCAGTCCAGGTGGGACTGGTGTTAGCAATGCTGAACCAGGGCTGGAAGGCAACATTTTACCTGAAGGTCAAAAGCTCAGCGTGGGCCTCAGGACCCAAGTTCTCAAAACTGAAATATAAGTAAATAAATAAAGTGTCTGGGTTACTAGACATCCAAACGATGACTATAATAAAGTAAAATCAATTCCCATAGCTTGAGATCAATATTTTGCAGTACTATGTGTGTGAAATGACATTTTCCAACATAAAACACATAAAATCTCATTGCCAATAAACACAGTTGAACATTTATAATCAACTTAGAGATAGGGAACAGTAATTTTGAACCTCGGGTAAATAAAACATTTTCTCTATAATTATTGTGTTTTGAATTTTATCAATAAAAAATTGCAAAAATTTATTTAACTTAGTATATAAACATGCACACATCTCTGATTTTATATACATAACTACATAATATCTTTAGTTTTGCTTTTTGGCTCACAATGTTTAAAATATTTACTAACTGGACCTTTACAGTATTGCTAATCCCTAATCTACCCCTAAATTCTCCCAAGTTTCAAAGACTGCCACTTACTTACCCAGCCACTAACGTACTTACCCAGAAAAACATGCACCAGCCTGTCATTTGAACCACCAATTACCACCTCTTGTGATTCAGAAGTCAGGAAGCTGGTCTGATGCCTCCTAAAGCATTGCAATTATTTTCTACTGAATAATCAACATTTCTAAGGTCGTCTCTAGGTCCTGGAACACTATTTCTCTTACTTTGTCTCAAGTGCAGAAATATGGCCCAGTAATGTCAGAATTCTAAGACTCTTTCCTATTCACTTCAAAACTCAG